AGCAGTTTTTAAGCCTCTTACTCATCATGCTTATCCTAAATAAGTTTTTATTTCAGAAATTCAGCACATATGGTCACTGTTAATCAAACAAGATCTGAAAGGATCCATTATGTTCTTTCCAATTTGAAGCTTTGCATATAGGTTATGATTAAAAACATGAGGAAGAAGCAGCATCGACCATTTCTTCAGGCAGGAAAAAAGGCCAAATTTCTCCAAGAAAAAAAAAAGCGTCACTAAGGATGCTTGTACACAGCCATAAAGAATGCTGTATGATACTCCATAGATAACATCCATTTAAATAAGAAGCCAGAAATACCGCGCTGGGGCTTGTGAGGGGTTATGGCACAGATTAAGTAACCTTGATCAAAGAGCTCAAAAAAATTCAGCAAATTAATTTGTAATTTTGCCACAGATGGAAATGCACTCCAGGAGAGGCAATCTGTCGCTCCATATGCACCAGTGAAATCAATGTTACCGGCTCACCCGGGCTGGGACAGGGGCATTTATGCAAGTCCTTGGGTGGGAGCCATGCGGTAAGGTCTGGGTGAGCCGAGCGCTCAGATCAGCAATGAAAAGGTTGAAGGTATTTTGCTGCGGTCTTCTTGAGTATGCAAATATTATCTGGAAAAAAAAAAAATAATAATCAAGGTGTCCCCCTTTTGATGTGGTGTCCACCAAGCACAGAGTGGGGCTGCACATGAACGCAGTCCGGCATTGACAAGGGGTGTCTGGGTCATTTTCAGTGGGTGTCCAGAAAGGAAAGGGAGGGCCAGGTCATACTGTCCTAACTCAGGCTGAGCTAATACAGCCACAAGAAACCCTTCCAGCGGTGGAGAGACAGCAGAAAGCCCTGACCTGACTGTCCACGGGGACCCCGCGGGCTGTGAGCCAGGACCCAGCCGTACATCTGCACACTGGCCCACCAAACTGGCCACAAGCCACCAGCACTGGGAGCTCCCACGGGGATGGGACAGGCTGCAGCATCCCCACCACACACAGCGGGGCACATGGTGCTTCGTCTCCAGGAATAGCTGCAGGCTCCAGCCCTCTGTGATGGCACATAGGAAACGATGCTTTTACTGTTCAAGCCTTGGCTTAAAAACTCACAGCGTTTTCCAACACAGCTTTTCTCACCCCTGCAAACTGATAACCACCTCCCTGGCTGGGCTCAGACCTATACAACCTTCACTGATGCTTTTGTGCTTCATGGTGCAGCAGCATGGAGGTGGCACCTGAAAAAACATCGGTGTAGGCATTACCAGGAAGATTTGGGGGTATCTTTGTGTCTCTTTCTCTTTTAAATTAATTCCTCCCTATGCCCATAAAGCACATTCCTGAATAAACATGGTATATCCAGAAGATACAGACGAAGTATTGATGGAAGACAATTTTTTGCACTGTGTATGTTGCCTATGTGGTATATAGTCTATATTCTGTGTTGGTGTTTATACATTTATATAAAAATATACGTCATGAAACTCTACTTAATTAACTCACACTGTTTAATGTGGACACTTCTGAAGAAATAAACTAAATGATGATTGTATATTTTGCTCTTTTCCACAAGGAACTGAAAAAGCTCCGAGGATACAAGCAGACAACAGCCAAATAAACTGAATGAACATAAAAATCAGTGAAGTCTGACAGCAACTCCTTTGTTAGTGCTGTGTTAACTTACTCATCAACAGGCTGTTTTCATCATCTGCACCCAATGCTGCATTTATTGCTTATCCCCAGACTTCATCACAATTTACTGAAAGTTTAAGGGCACAAAAACTGTGGAATTGGGCTTTGTGCACTGAAACTTCCCATATGTTTGATTTCTAACTGGCCACAGATGCCCACCTGCCTGGCAGGGTAAGACCCACAAGGCCAAGGACATACATTGCCCTTAGATGTAATTCAAAAACTCAGTTTTGAACTGAAAGGTAGTCCTCACACTAGTGAGCTCACTTCATTATTTTTGAACATTTTTAAAGTGTTTTAGCAGCAACAAAAGATCACAATTAAATAGATAAAAAGAGAGGATGGTTCACACGTGTGTGCAGGTCACATACACCGTGCCCCCCGAGAGCCAGGACTAAATCTGAATGCAGCAAAGCAAATGCAAAGGACTTCTCTGTCTCATTAGTGATATCCCTAATGGCAGAGACACCAACTCCCTGCACAGAACAAGGCAGAGATGGTACTTGGATGCATTTCTCTGACACCATGTACCCGCTGGGATTGCCATACTGGGCACACAGCGTTCCCGACCCTCCACATGCTGCGGCACTGGTGTGGGCAGTCAGCTCATCCTTAGGGATGAGGGCACATTGACTAAACCCGTTCTTCGGGTCAGATTTCCAAAACATCTTCCCACCTTGTTGCCACTTATAATCACAGCTGATATGTTCTCCTACCATGGTGGGCTGTGTACCTCATTTCCAGCCACAAACCACACAAAGGGAAACATCTTTGCCAGCGAGTGTGGCCTTTGGTGAGACATGAGACCGGGGAGTCAGGCAGGATGTTGTAAAATGCTTTATCAACCTCTCCCAGCCCCAACCGGTGAGGTTTCGATGGGCTATGGCCCAAGACTGCTTACACCAATCCTACACCTCCTTTCATGCACGGATGCCAAAGGCAGTCTTTCATATTGTGACAGTTCTCCTCTATGGAAGAGAGTAAAAACCAATAGTTTCTGTTCTTTAAAGACAGGCTGCGTTTTAGCTGTGCACAAATTGCTACATTGCCTGGATTTTTCTTACTGCCAGAGCTTTCAATACCAGCTTTGCAATTTATGCAGGTCATGCTGACATCTTTCCCACACACTCACTCCTGAAGTGCCCCCAGACACTTTGCTGCAGTGGCATTTCCTATCACAGAACCCGTATATTTTACTGCCTAATCCACTTGTTACTGCCTCAGAAATTGCAAATTCTGTTTTTCTTCCCCAAGCTAGCAGTACCCTCAGACAGGCCCTGGCCGAACACCCCTTCTCGGGAACTCTCCTCTGCCTACCCTCAGTACTTACGTATATTTAGATCATTTCCCAAAATTATCTAGAACTGCCACAGACTGACCAGTTTTGTATGGATTAGAGCATCCTATGAAACCTGTGAGTCAGACATGATACCAGAGATACCCAGGCTTATGGAAAAGGGGGAAAAAATAACACAATAATTGTGGTGTGTTCCAACTCACCGCAACCAGGGGCTCTTGTGGATTTTGTTGGTTCCCACCATGGCCTCTGAGCTCCCTGGGCACCCCGTGGGCACTGATGTAGCCAGGGGAGGGGGGGGAATTTCCAGTTCCTGCCCAGGAGACACCAGGACAGACTGCAGTGGGGGCAGATTCACAGCTGCCAGAGGCGAAGGCACCACGTAACCTGTGGAAACCCCCCAGCAGGACCCAGCCTGCGAGGCACATCCCCAGTCTCCCAGCTTGCACCCCAAACTGCGGGAAGAGCTGAGGGCAGCGCTGCACCAGAGCCGAGCACGCAGTAACCGAGCTGGGAAAACCTCGAGCGAGTCAAATCCACGGGCAAGGGGCGATGAGAGCCCAAGGGGTTCTCTCCTCCATCCTGAACAGTCTAAGGAAAAAAAAAAAAAAAAGAAAAAAAAGACAAGATTAAAAATACTGGGAGAAGGGCAGGGTGTCACTTTATGGACAGAGCTGGAAGCGCAGCCTCCAACGCACAAATAGCTCGAAATGAGATCAGAAAAATGCCCTTTTTTTTTTTAAATGCAGAGGCTCCAGCCCTTTCGGCAGCGGGAGCTCTGGGATTTTACGCCTCGCAGGCGCCCAGGCCGCTGCCGGCAGAGGTCAGCTCCGGCGCGCCGCCGCGCACACGCAGAAACACCCACGGGCCGGGTCGAGCACCGTTGGCCACGGGGACAAAGTCCCTGCAGCGGGGACGCCGGGAGTGTGGCCGGGGCAAGTAGGCAGCAGCCAGGCGGCTCCCCGAAGGACGCGTGGGACAAGGTACGTGGGGGTTTGCGTTTGCCGTAGCGGACAGACACACAGATTTTTTCTTACGCGGCCTCACGGAAGAGGGAGCTGGCGGCTGAGCCATCCCGGTGCTCCAGCGCTGAGCCCAGAGCTTCTTCGGACAGCCCAAGGGCAGCTCCGGGTTACTCCAATCTCGTGTACTCAGCATGCTGCTTCCAGGCTTTTCTCCCTCCCAGGACAAGACGGCCCCTTGAATTACAGGTCTGAATATTGGAAAAGCAGGAATTAAAAACATGTTTGTAAGACTTTCAAGGGTTTAAATTTTCATGCCGCTAAAAATAGTGTAGGAAGGCATCACATATCACGCTTTC